ACAGGGTTCAAAATAAAATCACAGCTTTTAGCTTGAATTTGTAGGCTTTTTTTGTCAAGGCTCATTTTTTCCCGGCTGTCAATAATGAATGAGCACGTAGTAGTTGAACTTTTTTTCACTTTCCGCGATTTGCGTGTGTGTACTGGTACACTAATTAACGGGAATCTGCCAAGAACCCGTTGCCTAGCACGTGACCAAAATCTTCCTGAATTGAAATTTCACTTTCTTCCTTGAGAAACCTTGAAATTATAAACTGATTTTAAAAACATTTCGCACATATCGCATGCTTTGAACTGCTAAATAATGTCAGCGTCAAATCTTCATTTTAATTAACGTGTTTCGTTCCAAACAAAGCATCGTGAACGGCTCTCTTTTTAGGTGTTTGTTCTGTTTGTTCAAGCGTAAAATACCGTCACGCTTCTTCACTCACAAACATGGGAAATCCGTTCTGTCGAGCAATATGAATACAAAACTGACTTTAATTTGAACGAGTGAAAAGTCTTAACAACCGGCACTAAACAAGTTTTTTGTGCAAAATAAATATTGATTACATGTGCAGAAACATAAAGTCGGTAACGCAACGGTTTGTCTAGACAAACTTGCATGTTTACGTTTCACGCTTGAACGGTGAACGAGAATTCTCCATTTCAACTTTGGCAGCACGCTTCAAATTTCCAAGCCTTTTTCTACTCTTTCTACTCATTTTTAAAACGTTTCCAAAAGCTTTTAAAACATTTCTTGGCTGCTTTATTGTCTGATATGAAATGTTTACTATAACATCTACAGCGACTTTGATTTCAGTTGGCCGAACACCGGATACCGGCTGCAACGCAGGCTAATCAAAGTCGATATTTTCTATTTCTTCGGTGAAAAGTCGCCGGCAAGTGTGGTAAAAGTGCCGGCTGCCGCCGGCAGCCGGCTGCTATTTTGAACCCTGGTCAGTTGGTTGTAGTTATAATTGTGATTAACGGCAGTGAAAAATGCAATTGTTAGCTGGGTTTTGAACTTTAGAGTTTATGGAAAGACACAGTAATTTAGTGTTGTGTTACATTGTTTAGCTGCAGTCTTTCTTCTGACTGGCATTCGTCTGAGAGACACCGTGGAGCAGATGTTACACAAAGAACTTATCTGCAGTGATGCCAATGAAAGAGTCAAATCTCTTCAGAGGTGAGCATTATGATAGCATATGATACTGCAGATAAGGACTCCTTTCTTTTAGAGCCAGCTCTTAAACAAAGTATTGAATACTGCACGTGTTGCTAAGGTTTGGGATCACTGTTTTTTGGGGGAGGGGGGTGGGGGGGTCGTTGGATGAATCATTCAGCCACCTTTAATGTTGGGTTTACTAAAACATCTCTGGCCAATCAACCACACATGCAATTACCAGCCAAATGGATCCTTTGACGTCACCTACCTCTCAGACGATGTAACCTGTTTCCA